CTCTCTCTCTCTCTCTCTCTCTCTCTCTCTCTCTCTCTCTCTCTCTCTCTGGTATTGTTTATACATTTAGTGATCTAGCTCTTTGTCAATAAATCTATTAAAAACAATATCACTATTTACTCTATATAGTGAATGTTATTTGCCAATTAGTCTTTTTAATTTTTTAAAACTGTGTCTGTGTGGGGATATCCCTGGAGACTGAAAGAAAGTGGAAAATCCCATGAATATGAGTTACAGGTGGTTAAAATCTCCCCATCAGGAGTGCTGAACTGAGAACTAAACTTCAGCCATCTAGAAGAGAAGCAAGCAGTTTTAACTACTGAGCCATCTTTCCACCCCTGCCAATGAGTCTCTTATACTGTATTCCTAAAAGTGCTTATATACTAACCTTAAATGGGAAATAATTTGTGTAGCCTGAGGGAGCAAGCACCCATGAGATAGTTTGTGGAAGGCAGTAGGATAATTAAGTCACCCATTTCAAATCCTGTTCACTCCTATGATGTCGAAATTTGAATATGTGATGTAATTCTGAGTGTTTATTGCGTTTATTCTGTTCATGCTAGAAAATCTGATTCTCACATTTTGTGGGAGAGAAGAGAGCCGTGTCTCTATCATTGTCTTGGATCACCTGAAACTCAGTATATCCATTCTTCCTTTTTGAAGATGAAAAGTGCATGCTCAACTGCCATAAAACAACTGAGTTATTTTCTAAGTGAAAGAACTAAGCTAATTAATTTTGTAAGGAAACAGAGAACTGTTTTGAAAAGTAGTTTTGAAGAAGAAAAAACGAGATATTTGAAGGAAACTCATGTGACTAGACAGCTAAGAGGCAAACTTTATAGTTCATAACCTCATAAATGAAAAGAAAGAATGAATAAGAACCTAAAGAAAACCATGAGATTTTTGTGCAGTGTGGTAAGTGGATGCTTAGAGAGAGGGAAACTCAAGTATCAGTTGGGTCCATTTCTCCTTCCAAAGAAATGCATGTGATATACCATTATCCCGTGTGTGTGTGTGTGTGTGTGTGTGTGTGTGTGTGTCTGTGTGTCTGTGTGAATGTCTGTTGTGTGTGAGTGTCTGTTGTGTGTGTCTATTGTGCATGTAACTATGTGTGTGGGTGTTGCTGCCTTCCTCCATCTCTCTTTCTCTTCCACTTTAAAATAAAAGATAAGTCAAAGACTGATAAAAAAAAAGAAATCCATGTTGAAGATCTAATATAATTTAATTCAATCTGTCAAACTCTTCATATATAGGCTACCAAAGCAACAAAGAAATCAAGGATTTAAAAAAAATAGTATAAGGATATGTCATCAAGGAAAAAAATGCAGAGACATACAGCCCAAAACCTTCTTTACCTTATCTAACATTAACTAATGTTTACTTTCCAGGTCTAATTTTTGGAACAATAATGCATATGTTTCAAGGTTGCAATATAATGAAATCTTAGGATTTTCAAATTTGTCCAGGCTGATCAATTTTAGACTATTCTACTGAGTCACCAAGAAACCCTAGTTCTTTGCTGTGGGTGACTCCGAGACCTACTCTGTTCCCACTGACTCACACTAGGCATCAGTGTTCTATCACACTGTACAGACACTCTCTTCTTCAGATCATTTGTGCCTAGAGAGGGAACCAAAAAATCAAAGTAGGAGGTTGTTTGTTTGTTTGTTTTGGGTTTTTCGAGACAGATTTTCTCTGTGTAGCTTTATGCCTTTCCTGAAACTCACTCTGTAGCCCAGGTTGGCCTCGAACTCACAGAGATCTGCCTGCCTCTGCCTCCCAAATGCTGTGATTAAAGGTGTGAGCCACCACCGTCCTGCCAAAGTAGGAGATTTAAAGTTGGAAGTCTCATTGCTTGAACTTACTTTAATAGTCTTAGTAACTTTTTTTTAAAACCAGAAATAATAGGAGAAATATTGGTGGCTAGAAGCACTTTCTGTACCAACTACTCCCATATAAGGGAATATAAGAATATGATTTATCATGTACTCACTCAGTCAAGCTTGTGGGTATGCGACTTTACTAAAAATGGTTGAACCAAAGAGATCATTAAAATAGAATACTTTTTTGTCTAAGATAGAATCTTGTGAGGAAAATAAATAAGCAAAAGGAAACTCAAAATAATATACACACGTCCCTACCAAGGATGCTATAGAAATACAGCTCTAGTGTGTTTACTCTCACTGAGGGCATTTAGGAATACTTCCTTTAACAAGTATATTTGTGTGAAATTGAGCTAGCCAGGAACAGCAACTTAAAAGGGAAGAATGCCTGCCAGATCTTAGGAGTGTATGAAGACTGTTCTTTTCCCATAGGAACATCTAGCAGCCTGCAGTAATTAATACATACAATAACTTTCTCTTTTTTTTTCTTTACAAAATGAAATGCTAATAATTAATAACATTCAGCTCTCAACGTTTTTATTTACTTTTATTTTTATTTTATTTTATTTTTCTTTATTAAGAAATTTTCTACCCACTCCTCATGCTATCCACAGAACCCCCATCCTCCCTCTTCTGACCTCCCAGCCCTGTTTCCCAAGCCACCCCGCACCCCCACATTCCCAAATCGAGGTCTCCCATGGGGAGTCAGCAGAGCCACAATAACTTTCTTGATAAGACATGAATCAAAAGCCAAATCAGCAAGCTTTCTAAGAATTTGTTAAGTCTTGTGAAGCTACAAAACAAATATTCATTAATACTGCAACCTTTACGACAGTGAGATTATGACAATACTATAAACATCACTATTACTCATCAAGATGTGAAACCTCCAAAGGAACCTCTGAGAAGGAAAATATGGTGACACTCTGGGTCTGTTTTCCACCTCCAAGTCAAGGGGAACTCAAAACAGGACAAGCCAGTTAAAAGATTCTGTAAAACTTTCTTGTTTGAGAAGTGATTAATCTCATTTTCTTTATATGTGCATGTGCTCTGCCATTCTGCCTTATGTGTATTTTCAGTTGAAGGATGTGTGATAGGGAATACACAATTTTACTGCCTAAGTCAAAGGAAAACCTAAAGTTTTTCATTAGAGCTGAAAAATCCACAAACATTTGAGCTGATTCTTTATGATTAAAGGAAAAGAACTCATCACTTATTTAACACAAATTCAATTGTTTCTCTTTTGTCCAACCATGTTGGTGTCACCTTTTCTCTTTTCAAAAAGGTGAAAGTGAAGGAAAACTAGGGCACAGTATTATGCCGGCCCAACATGAAAACACAGTCTGAGAAACTGCCATGGCAATGACTGTCTCTTGGGAAAACACTATCATGATTCCAGATGGCAAAATAAAATAGCTTCATGAGGATACTATTCAGTCATTTGTTGAACTGATGAGAAACAAAGTCATGTTGCATACTTTACATGCTATCTTCACCAATATCTCTCACAACTTGGTGATACTTTGGAAACATGACATTGTCTCTTTGGCACTGGGTTATCTCATTCAATATATTTTCTAGGTCCATCCACTGACCTACAAAGTTCTTGATTTCATTTTGTTACAACCAAATAGTATTCTGTAGTGTTTGTGTACCACATTTCATGGTCTAGTCACCAGTTGAAGGACATTAGCCATTTTCTAGCTATTGTGAATAGAGCAGCAGTAAACAGGGCTGAGCAAGTTGCTTATACACAAAGATAAGTATAGTTCTCATCCATTATCATGAAAAATTCTCATTGCAACATAAAAACATATTTAATCAAAATTCTGAGTTGTGATGCCAAGTCCGAATGGCTGCATGTATAAAACAACTTCCATCACTAAGGCTCAGGGATCATTTCAGAAGAGGGACAGAAAGGTGGTAAAAGCTAGATAATCAGGAAGTTTTCTGTGAGATTCTGTTTCCTAGTCATGTCAAAATCTACACATATAAATTCTCACTGACATGACTATCAAACCATGAGCTGAATGGCTATACTAATAGCCATACCAAAGTGGACAGGAAAAAGTCTATGAAGCCTCAACTCTGCACAATGAACTATAGGGAATGTTGAGAGTATAGACTTATTGAAATGGTTATCCAATAACAAATGGTCAACCCTGAAAACACACACACACACACACACACACACACACACACACGTGTGTGTGTGTGTGTGTGTGTAATGTTTAAACAATGGCATATCATTTTGTGAAATAATTATGAGAATGAAATAGGCATGTTGTCATAGAAATAAATGCATGTTGATAAACTATCAAACACTTGTGTTTGATTTTTTGTCCAATTTCTGAGAAAAATAAAAGAGTTTGTGGGGTGCCATGGGCCATGGGCATATATAGCAGGTGACAACTAGTATTTAACAGGTCGACCTACCAGCCCCATCTGATGGGGAGCCCTACCTGGCAAGGCTGTGAGGTCATTGACTATAAATGACCAATTGCTTCTGTCTATAATTTTTCACATGTGCAACTGCATTTCTTTCATAAAAACAATTATGTGCATTCTCCCCCATTATTTGTGTGTTTATTACATGAACATATTCAATATTTGTGCGCACATATAGCTGTGGATGGTCAGGAAGATGATTTCCGTTTAAGCTGTGTACTTCTGGTGATT